GCAGGCCTATATACTGCATCGCACACAAATCCACAGCTTAAGGTTCAATTTACTTTGATGCTTTTTTGGAAAATTTCAAAAGCAGTTTTTTCCAACGCATTATTTCAGATTGCAAAAAGCTCGCACTATTCGATTCCTTTTGATATTTTACACAAAATGACGCGAGCTTTTTGCAATCTAAAATAATGCGTAGAAAAAAACTGCTTTTTATTTTAAAAAAAATGCATCAAAGTAAATAGAACCTTAAATCATAGGCGTATTCGGGCTACTTCGTCGTAAACAACTGCAAAGCCCGTTCCCAGCTCGATGGTGGTGCCACAGTTCTGGTAGAAAGAAGCCGCTACGACTTCGAAGTTGCGTGGTTGAAGTTCATCATAGATTAACCTACACACTTAGAAAAAATCATGTAAATTTAGGTGCTCTGAGACTGACATATACTAGCGTCAATTTTGACATAAAATTGAGTCATAACAGACCCGCAATTCAACTCAATCAAACGTACTTTTCGTCGAGTAACGAACTTTTCAGTCTCGGAGCACTTAATTTTACATGAAATGTTTGTTTACATCTCATCTTTTATGCCAAAGATGGATTCCGTCACGTGTAAAACTAGTTATTTCTAAAAGTGTAAGCCAAACAATTTTCAGTTCCATGTTCCGAGTTTTCAATCGTAGTCCTTATTTCGTCGCGTAGGTCTGTGCCGATTGTTCCGATCCGTATTTTATTCTTAGGTATTTGCAACTTCATGTTTTTCCAGGGCAGCTTGTTGGGCCTACCCCAACCCCTGTCTCGCCGGGGGACCATCGTGCACAGCTCTGTTTAGAGTCCCACGCTGGCACTAGGACGGTGATAAGCCGCTCCTAACATGAGAACAGACGCCATTTTGAGCTGCACCTCCATGGTGAACAGACGCTCGGGTTTTTGTGAAGAATTTCCCCCATCACCGTACTATGGTTAACGCGCCAGTGTTCGCGTCGCACCTCTTCACTTTGTCATTGCCGGACTGGCAACATTGCCCAGGCTACGCCACCCAGCTATGTCTATGTTTCACCTGGTAGTCTTTTGTTATCATATGACTCGGGGAGGCGTGAAGTAGGAACTTGTGAGGACCAGAGCTAGATATTTGGCTCCTTCCAGGTTGGCAACTCACCATTTTGTAGCACATTGCATGAAGGTTCGGTTGCTTAATTGAAATTGTTTAATTTTCCACTCTATATAATGAAATAAGATCAAAATTATTTAACTGACAGAACTCCACAGGTAAGTTATCAAAAATACAAATCTGATCGACTACCAGTTGGAGTAGAAGTTTCTCAGGGTAGCATTCTTCACAGGCCTTTTGTACAGCACCAAAAAAGTCGAAAACATGAGCGTTTCACTTTCTTCATGAAACCGAATCAACCAACGACAAGTTTAAGCAGTTCGCGTTGCACACAGGTAACAATTTGATGCTTAACAAGTGTTGTTTAATCGATTTTTAATTCAGCCTTAGATTGAATAATTGTTGTACGTAGACCACGATAACCTTTGTTCAGCTTTTAAACATCTAAATGTGATGATTTAATCAGCAAAAAGCATAACAAAGAATAAACATTATAAGCTTTTTAAGGCATTAAATAACAGTATTTTCCAACCCTTGTTCAGCCTTCTATTTTTATTTCAAAAATAATAATGGAAGACCGCTTCATATTTTATGCATTTATATGGAACTGCTATAAATGTTTGCTGACTAATTTGATTTACATATTTATATTGTTAAAATAAGTTTAAAAATTACCTTTGCATTTTGGGATTTGAACCGGCAGTCGCTGATTCACAGGCGTAAGCCATACCTACTGGACCACTTAAGCATATGTGTGGCAAAAGTTATGATCATTAACTTGAAGCACGTCAAATTTAAGTTGAATAACAGCAATCGGAAGAGTATTATACAGCAATGCAGAATTGTAAACAACAACTGGTGACAGTAAAACATTCCTCTCATTTTCAAGTGCAGTTAACACAATGTGGACACAAGTGCGTGATTTATTTCGATGGTCATTTGGATGCTATTTTAGTGCCATAATTGAGTAATATTTTTGGAATGCAGTCTCAAATTTCAGTGCAAGTTATTCCTTAAAATCTCCTTTTCCTTGTCTCTACTGCTGCCACTGCTTGTAATTAGAAAGGTAGGCAGTGAATTTAGAAGAACTAAAATGCTGGAAATGCAACCAGTAACACAGACACTGACGACATTTAACAAATCAAGCTATCAAAATATGTGTAACGCATTGCTGATTTGTGGACTTGTGTTAAGCTTAAATAAGGCTTGTTCAATCTTTAGATCAGCTAACTTATTGAGGTTGGATTATGGGGATACAATTCGCTTCATGCACTACTAATCAACTATATATTCAGCCTAATGTTAATCAGCTTTGTATACCTTAAATGAATCAATAATCAGCTTCTGTTTTTACTGTTCAGCTTGAATTATTACTTGCGCAGCGCTTATATAGAATATTTTTGTTGGATTCCTTACATGTTGCTGGAATACCGTTAACGTTTCCCGACATAGTAGCAGCTCCACCAAAACAAATTCCGATTATCTGCTGCCACGATAGTTTAAGAGCGTTTATTACGTCACACAGAGTCATATGAATAGTATCGGTATCAGTTTTGGTGAGCCTGCTGATTCCAACAAACAATTCTACTGGACGACATCCGTAGAAATACCGCAAAGCAAGAGCAAGTTGCTCATAGTTCTCATAGTGTAAAGCGCATTTTTTGGACCCTCAAGCAAATAATTCTTCAAAAACGGATCATATTTGGAAAGTGTCCTCTAAACCAGGACTTTCCTGGTTTGGAGACGCTGATCGCTATTCGAGCAAATTTTGTTTATGAAATCATTGATAACATCTTTTATGATGCAATTTTTTCATATCGGTTGAATTCATATTTTGATATTATTATTGATATTTCTCCTGATAGTTGAATAATTCTGAGCTATTAGGGTGTTCAACACAGATGAGGCTGGTGAGCTGTATGTTGTTGGAACGAGGGTGACGCGATTGGCATAGATGGGCAACAGCGACTCACGAAGAGCTTCTGATTCCGATTAGTAGCGGTGCTGCTTCTTCCTCCTTCTTCGGTGAATAGACGCTCATGTGGGCTGCAGCTCACTGCTTGCGGACAGCCTTTCTTTGTGTACTGGAGAACAATGTTCAACGCCACGCGCCGAAAACACTGCTGCTGCTCCTGCGGATGTCGATTGACCGGAAACCACCAGAAACGGTGATTGAATAACCATTATTAAGATTAAGAAAATTGTTCATACGTTGAGTATAGCAAAAAAAAAAAGAACCACATCTTTTCAAGAATTAAGGTCATTAAAGGTTTCAAGATTTCAAGAAGGCACACAACTCACAACAATTGTGCTGCATTTGAGACTTTGAGAGTTTTAACATTTCTGTTACTATGAACATTTTCCTAGATCGATAAAGAAGTGAAAATTTATTCCTCGTCCTGATGGTATTCTCATGATTCTGGTAGCAGTTTTCAAAGATTATTGGCATCGTGGAGCAATTTCATTATTATTCTACTAAGCCGTACAATCTAACCACATTCAGTTTAATGGCGTTTAGCATAATGTCATTCAATTTAAAGACTGAATACTCACCTCAAAACCAAACTAAGCCCTTGGATGTGATATCAATCACAAATGAAAAAAATAAAACTTGTGCTTTAATTATTTAGTACACAAAAGCATTCATGGTGTCTTTGCTAGAATAACTTTTAATCACAAAAATCGGCATTCCCGAAACGATCCTACTTGCTACAGATGATATTTTCGGGATGGAACATGTCTCGGAACAATCCCAACTTTACTTGATCCACAACAATGGGTTCCGTGTCGTTCCACAGAAACTCCGATAGTCAGGTTAAAATCGACTTCTCGAAAACTGAACTGGGATTTATTCTTTATTTTTTTTTTCAATCGCGTTAGCTTTACGGAGCCGATAGTTCTTTGTTCTTTGTTTGTAACAAAATTAACTTAATTCTATGTCTAGTAGGAGTTGGGGCGATTACCCGCGGCTTACTCGAGGTTATAGGGCAAGGGGTAGATCACTCCGCACATTAATCTTGGGTCATCTTTTTTGTCAGTGTGCCGCAAGTGTACGAAAGGTGTGCCGATTTTGCTGGTCATAGAGCAGGATGCGATTTTTTGTTCAATACCCATCCCGGCAACCCGATATTTCTGTCACCTTGAATGTTTTTGTTTGATATCGCACGTATAAATCGAATTTATGATGACGTGGAAAGTGGCGAGTATACGAAGTTTTGGTGTTTTGTGTTTATAGGATAACAAAAGTCTTGTGCTATAGGGTTCTATAATGTCCTCAAATGCAGACCAGAAACCTAGCTATAATGATTTGAAAAGCAACGGTCTATCTGCGGCCGGAAAGAATTGGAACCGGTGGGGAACATTGTTGGAGACCGACTTTAGAGAATGATGAATAGACTTGTGTGAATTAAGGGTACTAATGGGGTCTAATTAACTGCCTCTTTCCCTTCAGCCCACTCTAGAACCTACACTTCGTATTTATATCTATAAGTGAATTACTGCTCTGAGTTCCTCTGGTATGTTCAGAGGATGTTCCTGAATATACAGTCAACAGCACGTAATGTTGTGACGGCTCAACTTTAACTTCAACTTCAATGACAGTTGTCCAGCAGTGCTTCCATTTTATTTACAACAATCCAATGCCTACCAGATTGTGCCGAAGGTGTGCTAATGGATGTGCCCAATCTATGCCGAATCTAATTTTGGCACAATGTGCTGAGTGACTTACCCCTTGTTAGAGAGGTACATTGTCGAAGAATAGGATCAGGGGAGGAGCTTGGGGGTAAGGTTTCGTTGTCTCATCAGAGCGTAATTATTCTTCATTGAAAGCACTTCGGAACAGTAAAAAAAAACTTGACGGCATATCTAAAGCCGCTCGTTCTCCGGCACAGCCTACTGGTTACTCCATTCTGTAGTTGACAAGGTCGAATTGCATCAAAATAACCAAATAGGTGCTCAGCGATCCGATGATCTGGAAAATAATCAGTTTTCATAAATTAAGAATCGAAACCAGCAATTCCTAACCGTAAACATCAGCTCCCAATCAAAGTCGAACAAACGGCAGGAAATCTTCGGCGTGTGATGCCGCATCTGTTGGGACATCTTCCGCAGCTGTTGGAAAATTCGCCTGTCGTATGATCGATAACCGATGGACTTGTGCACTAACACTGCCGTCAGTTTGCACTGGAAATCATCGGCATCGGTAAGCTTCAGCGTGAAAAATCCACCAACTTACCAGACTTACCTCGTCGTTGACCAACCCGGAACATATCAGAACGTACACGACAATCGAAATGAACAACATATCAAACAGCATTCTGGACCAAGCAATCCAGAAAATGGAATCGTCTACATTGGCAGCATAGACATGGATCGTAGCAAATGTCGAAAAAACGGTGAGTCCAAAGGCCGTGGCCAACGCCAACATCACCGTTGTAGAGTGACAACTGTTGAACTGGTCAACGATGTCGCTCAACTGACCGTGAAGGATAGCCATTCGCATAATCTTCTTGCGAAGTTGATCCGGATCAGTCGTTGGTCCTCGGTTATTGCTGATTTGCACCCTATGAGATTCAATACAATGATCAAACAATACAAACCTGATATTTAACTTTAACTCACATTTGTTCGTTCAGCACCAAAAATCGTTTTCGTATTGCTCTAAGCATGAGTAGCAAGCTGACTACTTCGGTACGGTAGCCTAAATTCACCCACAATAAGGACACGGCAAGACTCAGACCGATCCAGTCAAAACCAACAAGAGGTGTAACATTACCAAAAATAGAAGCCATACAAATCCATTCCAGGTATCTCAATGTTATGAATAGCACGGTACCGAAGTGTTCTGCTTGGTAGTTCCAGGTGTGCCTGAAGAATTGCGTTATCTGAAATATGCCTGTCATGAAAAAGATTTTGGACTCGCAAGCATCTTCAACTAAAACCTGACGATCGAATTTTTGGATATTTTGATGGAGTTTAGCAATCCTGTAGCCATTTACGTAGTTAGCGATCACTGTTCGTGCATGTCCAACAACGGCCATTAGCAGGGATACAAATCGTCCCACACTGATGATGTGGGAGTTGGTCAAGACAAAAATGTGATGCTGATAGTAAGTTAACGACAAGTACAACGCCAGCAGCGAGAAGAGCACTCCCACGACGAGCAAGGTCTGATCCGTTGAGGTACGTTCGGCCGTTTGATCTTGGAAATTGTAGGTCATCGTTGTTAAGCTAAACAGCCGCAAAAATCGGTAAATAGGGCGCCAGGCCGCGTAGAAATTGTCCACACGGAACCACTTCATGTCGAACACTGTGGAATTGAAAGTGCCTAAATTTTCCCTAAATTAAGCATTCGTGCCAGGTGATAATCACTCAAAGCGGGTGTGCATGTGAGAGACGTCTTTGTTTGTTCTATTGGGAGTCAAATTGTACCAATATCAACAGGTAGGTTGCCAGCTCTCCACAGGCCTGCAACATGGAATAATTACAGAGCTCGTCCCCGCGGATCTGATGTGCTATTAACTCAATTACCTGTACGATAATCGATGGATGGAGTTCGAAAAAGAAGAAGGTTATATGCGGCGTTCGACTGGTAATTTGCTCCGATAGCAGATGCAGCCGTTCAATGATGGCTTCGTTGTGCGGTAGGTTGATGCAGCGGTGCACGACGGCGACGAGCTTGGATTTTTGATAGCGCAGAGCGGCGACGTAGATTATGGTTTGAAATACGAAAAAGTTAAAATATAACGACCAGCACAGATATAGCACAGTGTGAATCGCTTCCATCGGGGTAGCTCGTCCCAAGAGGACCCTCAGTCTGGCATAGCTCGACGACAGGTGGACGAAAAATACGTTGACAAATTGGAAAATAAGCTGAAAAGGTAATAATCTGTATATTCCATAGCTGGAATACGGATCTTGATGCCATCTTACCGGACTACCGAACAGAGCATTTACTCCATCGGTGGCGTCACACAGCTTGTCGTACAGCTTGGCCAACTGAATCACCAGTTCATCTTTCCGTCGTCGTCGCAGTTCCTGCTGAGGCCATCCATCACCTTCCATCAGCTCTGCAATGCATCGGTTAATCAGTTGCAACCTACTATGAACTCCCAGAATCATCACATTTAACACGGTATGAAAGACCGTGTAGCCGAAGATGGTAGCGTTGAAACTGCCTAAGAAAATAACCATGTCCGTCTGGCTGCTGACTTCACGCAGAAGAAGTGTTATTGCCATAATAATTCCCAGTGCAACCAGACAAAGCGTCAGAAATACAGTGATCGTAAAGTGGAAGTACTGATGATCTCTCGGATATCCAAGCCGACCCAGTTCATCGTCAAATTCCTCCAAATCCCGTAGCATAGCTTCCACTCTCCGTTTATGATACAGGACAAAGAACGGAGTCAAAGTGATTACAAACATATCAAAGAACATGGTAAATCCTACTCCGTACATGACGACAGCCGTTTCGGATTCAAAAATCGATTTCCACACTCCGGTCGACAGACCAGTCGTGATTGCATAAACCCGAAATAGGGTGAAAAATGCCAGCACTATCAGATCGGACACGGACACAATGATCGTGCCCTGGACCCTATCAGCGATGGTGTAGGGTAGCAATCCAAGCACTTTCAGAAACACATGGGCCTGACTTAGGCCTTCAATATTGTTCCGCACCGGAAACCACCAGGTTCGGATTTTGGCCTTCGCGAGCCCCGTGAGATCCATGGGGGTGAAGTAACTATAAATTAAACGTCGGGGTACCATTTATCACTGCGGGAGCCAACCGTGGTTGGGAGTAGGGAACGTGTGGCAATATTTTTTTGGAATTTACACAATTTGTGGCATACAAGGCAAGCGGGTAAGAATCAATTACCCAACGGTGGATGATTAATGACCGGTAATTATTTATCCATTTTCAGTTTTTAAAATGTTACAACAAAGACAGTTTTATTTGTACTCAGCCATGTTGGAATAATGTATGCCGCGGTGAGATATTCAATTGTCTACGGCTGCTGGGGTGGAGGAGGGCAATTAATTTTGTGTCGATTATCGCGTACATCAGGTAGCTGGCCATTGAGGGTGAAATATGGCTTGTGGTTGCGCTGAATGGGGATGGATTTTACCACTATTGTTTGTGAATGCATCTGTAAAACCAATATGTGTAAAGTTTGATTACTTTCTGACTCGGGACCACATTGGTTAGCAACACCAGCGTTACAGTTCACATTGACAAAATGTGATGACTGATTCTAAGATCAACTTTTAACTAAAAGCTGATTATAAGTAAATTGCTACGCACAAAAAGACCTGTTATTCGTTATTCAATAAGTTTAAAAAGTCCATTAATGGTTGCTTTACAGTACTTTTAATCAAACTTCAAAGTTACAGCATTGGATGGTTACATTTCTCCAGTATGTATGTATGTATGTAAGATAGCCACCATCCCTTTGAATGATACCCTGATGCTCCCTCCCAACCCAGTATTTATTTATATAATGAAAGTTTATGTGATGGAAAAATGAAATATATCAGAGAATCGGTTGCTGATCTGGCCAAAACTAGACCCAGGAGACAATTTCTAGTTCCTCAGTCCCTATTATTTGCCGCTGAGAAGCTGTTCGAAAGCCACGTAGAACCTCCACGAGGCGTCCCATCATTCGTTGAGTCGCAGCCTTGAACCTGACTATTGGCCTCGAAAAGGCTTACCAATGTACATCAAAAATCGACTACATACATCCGAACATTTGTTTATCTCAAATCGACGGAAGACATTCCGTGCAACTACCATAAACCGGACTAGTTCATGTTGATCTTCGTCAAGCTTGGTCTACAATTTTGACTCTTACATCAACACATATTAACCAGCGTTCAGGTTCAATTGGCTAAACTTGGTTCGATCATTTTTTAAAATTTTATCTTTTCAAACCAGTAACGTTGGGTGATCACCTTTTTGTGGTGCGTAACTGGTATAAGATCTTCCACCGAACCCTAGTCGTGACAACTTCAAACTAAGAAATCAGGATTTTCCAGTAATCAAACGATTACGTTTAAGTGCTTGTTACTTTTTATGACTTGAAAATAGTGACAAGATTCGGGTAGTATATTGTATATTTCAAATCAAAAATATTGTTTACGTTCATAGAGTTTACATAATCATTTTCCCTTTGTCCTTCTCCTTTTCCTTTCCCTCTTCTCTTTTCAGAAAGCGAGTAATGGCGCTATAGACATAAGCCATAAAAAGCTAGGACAAGAGTTAGTGCTCCTGCCCCAACCGTCAGAAGGTATTGCCTAGTTTAAGATCACCAGTTTGTATACATTGAGGATGAATGCTAGTCCCCAACATCGTCTATTGGTTCTATGTGTAATTACAGCTGACGGAATGCAAACCGCGGGCGGTCAATCATGCTCATTAATTGTAGATTTTGTGTTCCAATGCTACGCTCTACCTTTTGTTTGTAGCTTGTTTCAAATGCTGTCAAAATTGAGTATGCGGTTGCTATGACGATGATAAAAAACTAACAGGTTTGATCATCATGAAGACCAACTTTATATGAAGAAAAAACTGAGGTACATGTAACTTGCATATTAAATGCCTTTAAACATAGCGTGCGCCAGTTAGTGTCAAAAACTACAGCGATTATTTGTTATACCATTTAGGATTTTCCACTTCAACCACCTAACAGTGGGTTACCCAAGTAACAAACTAAATGCTTGGAAGATTTATTTTTATTTTATCTTTGTTTTATCATAGCATCCCTTGCAGTCTGTGGTAGTATTACGGTTTTGTGTGGTTGTCATAAAATCAAGCCGTCATGTCGTCTATTAAACTGTTTTATGACTTTTAAATTAAAACTCAGACTTCATAGGTTTAGTGGTAGCTGTAAGTTGGTTCTGTATCACTACTCATAACTGAAGAATAAGACCAGAAAAAAAACATGCAACTATGTTTTATGGCATACTTTTCATGACCGATATAAAACTTGAAGCGCTCTTATACTTTCATTAAAGCCTCATCACAACTATCATCTTTATCAAAGGCATAAGATTCACAGATAAGAAAATGGAGCATCACTTAACCTTTCTAGCTTTGATGCTTCCAACAACCAACCTATTATATAATTACCAAAATGGGAACGTACGGTACGAGATGTCCATGTTTCATCCATTTATTGGATCCTGAAGCATCGTGTTTAAATCTTCGAATCATCTTGCCCCTTAAATGCTGCACAGTAGGCCTGGCCGTTTTGATGTGGGTGAAACATATATCAAATAGACAAGAAAAATTATAGAGGTGTATCCATCATTTTCCAGGATGCTTTCAAGAACTGGCTGTGTAGGTGTTAGATTAGATTAGATTAGATGGAGAAATGAAATATACCAGAACATTAAATGTGAAATAATTAAAATAAATTTATATGGATAAATTACTTGATATTCTGCAATGAAATGCAGCTCTATGTCTCTTGAGCTCCCAATATAAGGTGGTTTTAACCCCAATTTTTTTTTTTAATTTCAAGGTTATATCACAGACAAACAAACATAACACTCACAATCCCATTCATCGCAAATAATGTTTTAGTTGGGAATGTGCTTGCATTTGTCATGGTGACGCCACTGAAGTATTGAGCAAGGCACCACATTTCAAACTTATCAGTGATGCCAGTTCTTTTTCACGTCTAGTTAGTTGATGTCAGCTCTTGAAAATGATAAGTAGTCAAGGCATACCACTGGAGACACATACCACATCTGACGAATACAAAAAAAAAATGTATAATATTACACCAACACTGCTGCACATTAGTCATTCCGTTCCTATCATTACGTTGTACGATGTACACAGAATTCGAGAACAAATCATGTTGATGACTGTAATATTCTATCAACTTTTACCAGTTATTGATGTTCAATACTTCACCATGAATATCATTGATTAATACATATTACATTGACGCATCTACATTTAGAAAGGGTTCTAATAAGTGATGCATTACCTCGTTTAAAAACTTGTTTGCAGCAAAAGAAAAAGCACAATAAACAAACAAAACAAATCTCTAAAATAAAAAATTTTAGCTTCTGTGAATTTTTTCTACGGATCCGTATTTCTGCCGGAATCAATCAATTCTATAGATCTACGGAAAATTTCGTAGAACCGACATCACTGACTTCCATCTGTTTTGTTTTTATTCAACACAACTGACGCGTTGAAAAAATTGCA